TCCATCCACAGGTTGGGAATAATAAAACTAATTCTGCCTGTGGGGAATTAAAACAAAAGTACAAATAACCTGGGATGTCCCACTGGGCAAAGATTACAGGGTTCTGGACCAAAATAAGGATCTTCAAAGGTCCAAATTCTAAACTGGGAGGTTAAACCAAACTTAAGGTGATATTTTAAACTAAACCGAAAACCAACAACACTCTAAATGTAATAAAAGGGAGATCTGCACCACAAAAACGATGAACTCTAAACCAAAACATAACAGCTTATCCAAATGCAATGGTGATGGTGATGCCTCCAAGATGGCGCCGAGTATGGCTGCCTCGTCGCGAGCTCCACCAAGCAACAGTTGTTTTTTGTGTTTACTACTTTTTCTTTCTTTATTTTTTCACGAGTAGCACATGTATCCTTGTGTACGACTGACAAACCTTACTGGACATAAAAGACAGAGTTTCTCATTGCTTCCCGGAGTTCAGGTCTTTCATCACGGACCCGCCGTTTGCAGATCCCCCATTCATCTCACCTGAGACGCCTTTGTTCTGGGCCCGTGGAGGCCGCAAGCGCCGACGCAGAGGGAGAAGATCTGGCGTTCTGCTTCGACTAAGACGGCGCACTAACAGACCACCATTACCCAGTTTACTACTGGCTAATGTGCAGTCCCTGGAGAACAAGCTGTGCGAGCTTCGGGCTCGGATCTCATTCCAGCGAGAGATGCGGGACTGCAGCGCGATCTGTCTCATAGAAACCTGGCTATCGGACAAAGTACCGGATCCCGCAGCACAACTACCGGGGTTCTCCGTGCACCGCGCGGACAGGTCACAGGAGCTTACTGGGAAAAGCAGAGGTGGTGGTGTGTGTTTCATGATCAACAACAGCTGGTGTGATTATGCGAACGTGCACCCGGTCAAATCCTTCTGCTCTCCGGACCTAGAGTACCTGATGATTAAGTGCCGGCCATTCTGGCTACCGAGAGAATTCACAGCGGTGGTTATGACGGCTGTTTATATTCCCCCACAAGCCGACACTGACCGAGCACTCAGAACTGTACAGCGCGATCAGCAATGAGGAAACCGCACACCCAGAGGCGGCGTTTATTACGATCGGGGACTTTAATAAGGGTAACCTGAAGAAAGTCTCACCAAAACTACACCAACACATCCATTTCAATAAACGTGGAGATCGGCTACTCGACCACTGCTACACCTCTTTCCGAGATGCGTACAAAGCCCTCCCCCGCGCCCCATTCGGCCAATCAGATCACTGCTCCATCCTGCTTATACCTGCCTACAGACAGAAGCTGAAACGGGAAGCTCCAACCCTGAGGGCAGTGCATTGTTGGTCGGACCAATCGGAGTCTACACTGCAGGATTGTTTTGATAACGCGGACTGGGAAATGTTTCACGCAGCTGCTAGAGACATTGATGAGTACACAGACTCAGTCTGCAGATTTATCAGGAAATGCGTGGAAGATGTTGTCCCATCCAGAACAGTTAAACCCTTCCCAAATCAAAAACCCTGGATTAATGGAGGTGTGCGAACGGCGCGGAGCACCACCTTTGCCTCCGCGAACACATCAGACTACAAACACGCACATTACCAACTCCGGAAGACGATCAAAGCAGCCAAACATGAGTACAGAGACAGGGTGGAGCAACAGTTTGAGAACCCCCGGAGTATGTGGCAGGGACTAAACACAATCACAGACTTTAGAGGGAGAACCAGAACACCGCAGACCACGGCCTCTCTGTGTGAGGATCTAAACGCATTCTATGCCAGATTCGACACAGCGAACTCCATGAGACCGGACAGTGAGCGCAACGCGGATGACGTCAGTGCACACACTGTGTCTGAAGAGGGTGTGCGGAGGTGGTTCAGGAGGGTGAACGCACGCAAAGCTACTGGTCCGGTCGGGATTCCCGGCCGCGTCCTAAGGTCATGCGCGGGTCAGCTGGCTGGAGTGTTTACACACATCTTCAACCTTTCCCTCTCTCTGTCTGTAGTCCCAGCCTGCTTCAAAATGGCCACCATTGTCCCTGTACCCAAATCCTCCACCATCTCCTCACTGAATGACTGGTGACCTGTAGCCCTGACCCCCATCGTGAGCAAATGCTTCGAGAAGTTGGTCAGGGACTTCATCTGCTCTGCACTGCCCGATTCACTGGGCCCTCTACAGTTTGCATATCACCACAACAGGTCCACTGATGATGCCATAGCCCTGACACTTCATGCTGCCCTGTCACACCTGGAGAAGAGAGACACGTATGTGAGAATGCTGTTTGTAGATTACAGCTCAGCATTCAACACCATTGTTCCCTCGAAGCTGGACAGGAAACTGCAGGATCTAGGACTGAGCAGCTCCCTCTGCAGCTGGATCCTTAACTTTCTGTCTGACAGACGCCAGGTGGTCAGACTGGGCGGCACCACCTCATCCACCGTCACACTGAACACTGGTGCTCCGCAGGGGTGTGTGCTGAGCCCTCTCCTGTACTCACTCTACACCTACGACTGCACGGCCACGAGAAACTCCAACATCATTGTGAAGTATGGGACGACACCACAGCGGTAGGTCTCATCACCAACGACGATAAGACGGCCTACAGGGAGGAGATCAGCTCCCTGACCCACTGGTGTCAGGACAACAGTCTCACCCTCAACGTCACAAAGACAAAGGAGATGATAGTGGACTTCCGGAGGAGCAGAGGAATACACACCCCCATCACCATCAACGGCGACGCTGTGGAGAGGGTGAGCAGTTTCCGTTTCCTTGGAGTTCATCTGGCAGAGGATCTTACGTGGTCATGCACACGGAAAGTAAAGTGAAGAAGGCACAGCAGCGCCTCTTCTTTCTCAGAAGACTGAAAAGATTTGGCATGAGCTGCCGCATCCTCAGGACCTTCTATCGCTGTGCCATTGAGAGCATCCTCACTGGATGCATCTCCGCCTGGTATGGCAACAGCACCGCTTACAACCGCAAAGCTCTCCAGAGAGTAGTGCGGTGTGCAGAAAGGATTATTGGAGGTGAGCTTCCCTCCCTCCAGGACATCTATAAGAAGCGGTGCCTGAGGAAAGCGGGGAGGATCATCAAGGACTCAAGTCACCCCAGCCATAAACTGTTCAGACTACTTCCATCAGGAAGGAGGTTCTGCAGCATCCGTTCCAGAACCAGCAGACTGAGAGACAGCTTTTTCCATCAGGCCATCAGACTGCTGAACACGGCGCAGACACCTCACCCTCACTACTGAAACTCCAACATTACACACTCCATACTGTACATTAATGCCACTGTTTTGCACATACCAACCTCTGTATATTTTATATCTCTTATGTTATTGTTTACTTTATTCATTTGTATATTTAGATTAGCCATTTTTATATTTTACTTGTTTTTACATTACTGTATTTTTGCACAACTCTGTTGCTGTGAAGCTCGCACACAAGAATTTCACTCGCATGTACTGTACCAGTGTACCTGCACATGTGACGTGACAATAAAAGTGATTTGATTTGATTTGAAATGCAAGAAGCTGTTAACGAATATGCTAACAGTAGCTTTACCAACGTTAAGTTCAAGTTACCAAGTTTAAATTAACCAAAAACACCCAGCAACAAACAGACCAGCATGGAGGAGAGTGCTACCACCAAAACAGCTTTCCTAATGTCTGAATGAAGCTCCTTAATGAAGGGAGAAACGCTCCCGGTGATTTTCGACATCTGCGATAGAGATGAATTAGCGCATTTGACCCCGGAAGTTGCTGTCCGTTGCCGGGGGGCGAAGGCGGGCAAAACAGGAAAGGAATCTCGTAGCGGACGGACATTGTTCCGGGTCTTCGGTATTTGGCGGAGAAGAGGGCGAACTAGAGGAAAAACAGGCAGATTCCTCCTCTATTTACAAACTCCTGGGGATATAACAAGTGGGCGTGGTGCGTCGACTACCGGATCTGACATGGACGAATTTTTAGAATCGAGCCGTCGACGTCATTGATGCGTCGCCACAGCTCTAGTTACATATGTCATCTAATTATTAAATAGAAATCACCTCTGCATTCCTGTTGGTAGAAATCAGGTTGGGATCAGTCTGCTTCAGGTTGTCTTCCGGCATCTGACTCTGGATTGCCTCAGGTGAGACCTGCATCAGACAAGCATCAGCTACTCAATACAAGTTAGTGACAAACTGCTGTTCCCATATTGTTGCTTTGTTTTTTATACATTTACACTATATATAAAAACGTGTAGAAAATTCTTACTGCATTAGAATGCAAACACACTGCCTTGCCTAAAAAAGAAGTTGCCACCTAGATTTATTTAAGCAAACAGAGAGGAGCCTCCTATTGGATAATTACTGCATGGGCGATAATCTTTCAACTGGCAACAAGTTATTTAACTCCAACTGCTGCAGTGAGTTGCTTCTCATTTCTTAAACAGCCATGTAGAAAAACACATCTGGTGGTCGTGTAAAAGATGTTCGTCTGTTTTGAGAAGGGTCAAATGATTAGCATGAATAGGGCAGTGAAAACATCTAAGGAACTAAATATGACTTAAGAACTGTCAGTAGCCACATTTACATGGGCACAATTAAATTGAACGCCCAATCAGATAAAAAATTCTACATGTAAACATGTAAATCGAAGTGTTATGATCCAATTCGGCCCGATCGGAATGAAGTTTCAATCCAATTGAGAGGTGGTTTTGTCCGATCATCATTCCAACTGACGTGCATGTACACAGCCATTTGGATTATTTGAGTAAAATATTGCCCACTGCGCATAAGTGCAACAGCTAGCTTTTTCTTTTGGTGGTGACATTTTTTGGGCTGGACAATGTATAATGCCACTGAACCTACGAATGTCCACATAAACACTATGGTCCTCCTAAACAACAATAGGATAGAAAGCTACTAAACACACACACCCCCACACACAGATGGCTTACTAAAATTAAAACCTCTGTTTGGGACTGTCCTGACAAACCAGTGTCCATGTAAATCACATAACACTCAGATACACTTACACACTATTTACAAGAGTGGTTGACTAACATCTTACAACAAGTTACATATATCATCTAATTATTAAATAGAAATCACCTCTGCATTCCTGTTGGTAGAAATCAGGTTGGGATCAGTCTGCTTCAGGTTGTCTTCCGGCATCTGACTCTGGATTGCCTCAGGTGAGACCTGCATCAGACAAGCATCAGCTACTCAATACAAGTTAGTGACAAACTGCTGTTCCCATATTGTAGCTTTGTTTTTTATACATTTACACTATATATAAAAACGTGTAGAAAATTCTTACTGCATTAGAATGCAAACACACTGCCTTGCCTAAAAAAGAAGTTGCCACCTAGATTTATTTAAGCAAACAGAGAGGAGCCTCCTATTGGATAATTACTGCATGGGCGATAATCTTTCAACTGGCAACAAGTTATTTAACTCCAACTGCTGCAGTGAGTTGCTTCTCATTTCTTAAACAGCTATGTAGAAAAACATCTGGTGGTCGTGTAAAAGATGTTCATCTGTTTTGAGAAGGGTCAAATGATTAGCATGAATAGGGCAGTGAAAACATCTAAGGAACTAAATATGACTTAAGAACTGTCAGTAGCCACATTTACATGGGCACAATTAAATTGAACGCCCAATCAGATAAAAAATTCTACATGTAAACATGTAAATCGAAGTGTTATGATCCAATTCGGCCCGATCGGAATGAAGTTTCAATCCAATTGAGAGGTGGTTTTGTCCGATCATCATTCCAACTGACGTGAATGTACACAGCCATTTGGATTATTTGAGTAAAATATTGCCCACTGCGCATAAGTGCAACAGCTAGCTTTTTCTTTTGGTGGTGACATTTTTTGGGCTGGACAATGTATAATGCCACTGAACCTACGAAGGTCCACATAAACCCAATGGTCCTCCTAAACAACAATAGGATAGAAAGCTACTAAACACACACACACCCCCACAGACAGATGGCTTACTAAAATGAAAACCTCTGTTTGGGACTGTCCTGACAAACCAGTGTCCATGTAAATCACATAACACTCAGATACACTTACACACTAATTACAAGAGTGGTTGACTAACATCTTACAACAAGTTACATATATCATCTAATTATTAAATAGAAATCACCTCTGCATTCCTGTTGGTAGAAATCAGGTTGGGATCAGTCTGCTTCAGGTTGTCTTCCGGCATCTGACTCTGGATTGCCTCAGGTGAGACCTGCATCAGACAAGCATCAGCTACTCAATACAAGTTAGTGACAAACTGCTGTTCCCATATTGTAGCTTTGTTTTTTATACATTTACACTATATATAAAAACGTCTAGAAAATTTTTACTGCATTAGAATGCAAACACACTGCCTTGCCTAAAAAAGAAGTTGCCACCTAGATTTATTTAAGCAAACAGAGAGGAGCCTCCTATTGGATAATTACTGCATGGGCGATAATCTTTCAACTGGCAACAAGTTATTTAACTCCAACTGCTGCAGTGAGTTGCTTCTCATTTCTTAAACAGCCATGTAGAAAAACACATCTGGTGGTCGTGTAAAAGATGTTCATCTGTTTTGAGAAGGGTCAAATGATTAGCATGAATAGGGCAGTGAAAACATCTAAGGAACTAAATATGACTTAAGAACTGTCAGTAGCCACATTTACATGGGCACAATTAAATTGAACGCCAAATCAGATAAAAAATTCTACATGTAAACATGTAAATCGAAGTGTTATGATCCAATTCGGCCCATCGGAATGAAGTTTCAATCCAATTGAGAGGTGGTTTTGTCCGATCATCATTCCAACTGACGTGCATGTACACAGCCATTTGGATTATTTGAGTAAAATATTGCCCACTGCGCATAAGTGCAACAGCTAGCTTTTTCTTTTGGTGGTGACATTTTTTGGGCTAGACAATGTATAATTCCACTGAACCTACGAAGGTCCACATAAACCCAATGGTCCTCCTAAACAACAATAGGATAGAACGCAACTAAACACACACACACACACACAGATGGCTTACTAAAATGAAAACCTCTGTTGAGATTGTCCTGACAAACCAGTGTCCATGTAAAGCACATAACACTCAGATACACTTACACACTAATTACAAGAGTGGTTGACTAACATCTTACAACAAGTTGCATATATCATCTAATTATTAAATAGAAATCACCTCTGCATTCCTGTTGGTAGAAATCAGGTTGGGATCAGTCTGCTTCAGGTTGTCTTCTGGCATCTGACTCTGGATTGCCTCAGGTGAGACCTGCATCAGACAAGCATCAGCTACTCAATACAAGTTAGTGACAAACTAAATTTAGACAATTCTTGAAGAAATTCAATATTTGTTTAGGACATAGTGTCAAAAAAATCTCCCCAGGAAAATTTAAATTGAGGACATGGATCCATGTCTTGTGCAGCTTGCCTGTCTACTTGTTTGTAAAAGGCATGTATTTGTATAGCAGTGGACTGCAAATTAACTGCCAGTCTCTGGCTTTTTGTCAAACTCTGACCCTGACTCTACTCCATCTACTCCACCTAACCTATAAACTGCTGCAGGCAGAAAGCTCTGGAACAACTAGTGACTCCACACCCTAGCCAAATCAGAGACAGTCAGTCTCTTACATAGTATTTTTAGACTTGGTCAGCATGCTAAGAACCACAACCAATCAGGTACTGAAAATTTGGGTGAAAATACTGAACCATGTCTTTGGAAAAGGCAGTAAAATTGAACCACACCCATCCAAGTCACACGGAGTAGTACTGTTGGAAAACCCATATTAGAAGTAGCATAATTTAAGTGAACAATAAAAATAGACTACCTCTGCACTTCTATGGAGCGGCTCAAGGTCTGGATCAGTTTGGTTTGCGTTGTTTGCTGCCACCTTACTATGCTTCTTTTCAGTCCTTATCTGCATCAGAAAATGAATAAAAGTTAGTGATAGTCTTAATTCATACCACTCAAGTAACATCAAAGGAAAGCTGAAAATTATTAGGATGAAAAAAAAAACATGCTTTGTCTTTCATAAAAATATTGTACACGTGTTAAAAATGATTGGATTTTATACTGTAAATAAACATTAACTTGTTTCTTCCATAGGCAAATTTCATAGGCATTCAAAATTTAATGACTCAATTGTCAGTCACCTTGCATCTCCATGGCCAGTCTGAGTCACCGTAATTATAGGTTACCTCTTCTCCCTGGCTTATTTCTCGAATAGCAAACAAGCACAAATGGGGCTTCCCTTGCACAGTCAGGTACTTCATTTTGGCATTAGGACAGACATGATCATCATTGACAAGTCTTCCAAGTGACCCATCTTCTTTTGCTGCATCAACACTAAAACATTAATGCATCAATTATTACATCATAAATTGTCTTGTGACTTCCAGTGACAGCACATTCAGCCATTTCTAATTTGATTGTATAATCATACTCACCACCACAGCTTTCCGTCAAAGTAGAATTCAAACAGAAACACTTTAAGTGTATCATGATAAACTCTTTGTCTCCTCTCACATTCCTCCTTACTGATCAGTTCTCCTCTATATTCCAACAGAAAGTCTCCTTTTTGAAAAGAGGTAGTTACAAAGACACCACGGCCTTGTTGAGGGAGGGAGGGAGGGGGGGAGGAGGGGAGGGGAGAGAGAGAGAGAGAGAGAGAGAGAATTGTCAATGTAGAGTTCAGGTTATATTTTTATTAAACTACCAGAAAATAATTATACCTTTGTAGGCACTGATGGATTTTACGTCAAATCCCACTTTGTCCTTTCCATTCTCAATGTGATATTTAGCATCTCCTTTTGGGTTAATGCGTCTTTGCCTCTCCATGTTTTACTGGCATCTGTAAAGTTAAAGTCCCATAGTCATCATCACACACGTGTGAAATTACATCTCCACACTTGACCCATCCCCACAGGGAGCTGTGAGCTACAGCAGTGGCTGTGCTCGAGAACCATTTGGTGGTTTAAACCCAAATCCAACCCATTGAAGCCGAGTGTCAAGAAGGGAGGCGTGGGGTCCCGTAAGTCTGGTCGCCTTATGACCCAACTGGGAATTGACCTCCCAGTCCCAAGGCGGGCACTAAATAATAGCAAGAGTTAAATCTTAAGGAAAGCTACAGGAAGGGTAACAAAATGATAATTCCAAGTTTCAAATAATGATAATTCTGACGTTACGTTCATGCTGCAGGTCCTGATGCTCAATTCCGAAAATCCTAATATTTTTGTGTGGTTGTTTACATTTTGACTGAAATGTGACATCAAACTCTCTCCAGTGTGAACGCTTTATGGCCCCAAAGTGACCTGCATGCGCAGAGGACAAGAAGTCACACTCACCAGAGTTGTAACTAGGAGAGGCAGAGTTGTGATGTGAAAGCCTTCACTGACAGTTCATTCACAGAATCAGGATCACACCTGTCAAGTCTCCAGTTTAGGGATGTTTTAAATACTGTAAACTATTTTATTCCTTGTTCCTGCCGTCTTCCCAAATTATTATTTACCAAAAATGTTCCAGTATAGACCCTTTTACTGTTTGTAAACAATATGACTTCAGCGAGAATGCGCGCAGCTTGGCAACAGAGAATGGCGTTGTTTCAGGCTTTATCAAGCTACGCTGCTGGGTTATCACCAGCAAATCTTGAATGTTGTATTATTAAACTCACTTTAACGAATGGCGACAGACTCCCGGATCCCTGTGGCATTACGGAATGGGTGTAAGATGTAGGTGCGTGGCCAGATATCCAGTGGCCCGATATGTACACGTTTTTAGTGGAGAGGCCCAGTAAGTACACAAGTGAGAAGCTACGGGCATACAAATCGTTAGATGCATACAACTATGTTGTCTGTGGCCACGTACAGAAAGTAAAATATCACGACATAGACTCTGAGTTTTGCGTCTTGAAGGCAGAAGTCCTTCCTAGCCAAAGACAAGGACTGCTATGTATGAGGCTTGGGTCATAGTAAACAAACCAGAGAACTACGTCTTCACAGCCAACTGTGCCTGCATGGCAGGGTGAGTATAGCATAGGTTTCTTTTTTTAGCGTGCTCAGAGTACAATCGTGTAAATTTTAGAGAAATACAGTTTATACTAATATGCAGTGGGAAAATACAGATGAATTAGAATGAAATGTTAATTTGAAGCATGAAATAAAGCGTATAAATTTGTTTAATTCTGTCATTTTGATGTTCCAGACTTGGGTCATGCTGCAGCCACGCAGCAGCAATTTGATTCAAAGTTGAGTTTGTGTTAGGATGGGAAAAACAGGAAAGGCTGCAGTTACACTTTTGATGGCCTGCAGCCACAGACGCCTCCGATTTTGTTCAAATGGATGTGCTCCCTTCGGAATTCTGTAAAGTTTCAGTCCACTGCTTGAAGAGAAGCGATTCTGGCATCCATACACGCAACAACCCGACTTTTTTTAAGTGCTCAGAACTTCAAAACAAAAGGTTTCAAACGCTGTTTTAGTATCGAATGTGAATGAGGAAGCCTTCACTCTCGTTGCCAGGCTGCGCGCGCAACTTTTGATGACGTAGGTAGTAAAAGGGTCTATTATGTTCATTCACAGAGAACCATCTTTAATTATTCTACAGGTTATTGTTCACCCTTCTGACGCTCAAACACACACACACACACACACACACACACACACACACACGAGTGTTGGTGAGTGGCTGCGTCTGACTGCTGACGCTCCGTGTGCGTTTTTATTTCTGCAGTGAGACAAACTCACCTCACACTGTCCAGAGTTTGTTCTTTAAAGCTTCTATTAAATCCACCATGTTGACTTATATTAACAAGTTTCCTCTGCAGAAATTAAAAGTTTACATTACAAAGTAAAAGTTCAGCAGGCGTGTTTGTTTATATCTGTACGATTCTGGGAAAAACTAACAGTTGCTCCCGATTCTTGATGCCATGGCAGCCCTTAACACAACAGGAGTGTACCATTTTCTGCAGGTTTATAAGCTCACTACCAATCCCATGATGCAATGTGCTACAGCACCAAGCTAATGCTAAACTAGCAGCTGTAGCTTCACAAATTCAATAAATGTAACCAAAAACTGTAAGATTCACAACCTTTCATTAGTTTTCCAACTATATAAAACTAATTTGAAAACGTTGCTACAAGCCAGGGCTTTCCCTATCCCCCCCCCCCCCCCCCCCCCCCCACTCCCCACCCTCATCAGGGACAACGCACGGTACCGAATCCATCCATACACTCACCCCCACCTCCCCAGTTATCACGTTCGACGCACGGTACCGAATCTATCCATACGCTCACCCCCACCTCCCCAGTTATCACGTTCGACGCACGGTACCGAATCTATCCATACGCTCACCCCCACCTCCCCACGTTATCACGTTCGACGCACGGTACCGAATCTTTCCATGCGCTCACCCCCACCTCCCCACGTTATCACGTTCGACGCACGGTACCGAATCTATCCATACGCTCACCCCCACCTCCCCACGTTATCAGGTTCGACGCACGGTACCGAATCTTTCCATGCGCTCACCCCCACCTCACCCCGCTATCACGGATGACGCACGGTACCGAATCTATCCATACGCTCACCCCCACCTCCCCACGTTATCACGTTCGACGCACGGTACCGAATCTATCCATACGCTCACCCCCACCTCCCCACGTTATCACGTTCGACGCACGGTACCGAATCTTTCCATGCGCTCACCCCCACCTCACCCCGCTATCACGGATGACGCACGGTACCGAATCTATCCATACGCTCACCCCCACCTCCCCAGTTATCACGTTCGACGCACGGTACCGAATCTATCCATACGCTCACCCCCACCTCACCCCGCTCTCACGGATGACGCACGGTACCGAATATATCCGTGCGCTCACCCCCACCTCCCCAAGTTATCACGGACGACGAACGGTAGCGATTCTATCAGTCCCCCCCATCACGGATGACGCACGGTACCGAATCTACCCGTGCGCTCACCCCACCTCCCCCCCGTTATCACGGACGACGAACGGAAGCGAATCTTATAAACGTGCTCTTCCACCAGCCTCGCTACAACGCCTGGGCTTCTCTACCGCCAGGCTTAAGTTTTCTGGAGGACACCCTGCAAGCTAATGCTAAGCTAGCTAGCAACTCACTGCTAACCAAACGAACTGCATTGCATTCTCTAAATACTTGCTACAAGTCTATTGTTACATCAAAGAAACATTAAAACTAGAAAATAACCGAAATGTATTAATACTATTGCTTACCTGTGAAGTTTAATCCACGGGGACCTCCATTTTGAGTGCTGCAGCTTTGAAGGCATTTAAAATTTAAAGGCACGTCTTCAGGAAGTAGCTTTGAGGGGTTGGGCTTTATGTCCCGCCCACAGCCAATCACAAAAGGGACACCCCAAAACCCCGCGAAGTGTATAAATGTGTATAAAAGTGCAATAAATACACAACATCCAGGGGCGCTGTGTTATACACATAAATACACAAAAATCATATTGAGTGGTATAGATGGACAAATTAATAAACTGAAAATAAAAGCTGTTTATATATTATTAAGTGTCAAAACACAATCCAAACTATAAAGCCACTTGTAAAGTATAGGTTTTGCCCAAAATCCATGAGAAAAAATTATTTTTAAGTACTTAAAAAAGCAAATACATACCATGATTTAGGCGGACCTTGGCCTAGTCCTCCTAAGACACAAAGGTCCTTGTAATGTCGGTACGTATTCAGGTCAAAAGTCCAGATATGCCACAAAAACACACGCACACACACACACACACACACACACACACACACACACACACACACACACACACACATACACACATACACACACACACACACACACACACACACACACACACCACTTTACTAAACCCTAACTTTTAAATGCCTTTTTAAAGTGTATTTGAAATATCTTCCAGTTCATTTTCTACCACAAGGTGTGCACCAGCACCAAAAAGCAGACATGAAAAAGATAAGTATAAAACTACTCTAGGGGGGTCTGGGGACATGCCCCCCAGGAAGAAAATTTTGGACATTTTAATGTCCAAGCTGTTCTTGAGGAATAAGAAAATGAAAGAACAACATTTTGTTTTACTCCATTTCCACGCATCATGAAATCTGTCTTTTTCTATCACCTGTGGTGGATGGGTTTCTGTAGAAGAAGCTTTGGCCCCACATAAGTCAAACATCAGTTAAAAAAACATTTGAGGAAACAGATTTCACTGGAAAGTCAAAATGGGCCTTGTGGGAGTACTGGTGGATGGTGTTCTGTTGGAGGTGCTGGTGGGTCGAGTCCTGTTGGAGGTGCTGGTGGGTTGAGTCCTGTTGGAGACCACACTGGAGTGAGTCATGAAGCGGTGTTTGGGTCCTGAACGTGCTGCTTGGGCCTTGTTGGATACAGCTTTTGATTCACGCTGCTCTGGCCGTTCACCTCCTGGCGCTGTGCATCACGGAGGAAATTTACAGGTTTCTGCCGGTAAACACAGAGGTATGTGTATCGCTTCCAAATGAAGGAAAGACAATTCCTGATGCGCATGTGCACGCTTGCTCCAGCTCAAACAAATAAAAGGAATAAATTGCCTGAGTCTGAAAGCCTTTGTAGCGGCCCACTTTGAATTACCACGCAAGATGCAGAGAGCTTCGACTGGTGCAACTTTAATCCTCTCCTTCTTTCACCTCGCATTATGACACCATGAAAACTATATGAACAGAAAGTACAAATGTCACAGTACCATAATACTTCCACAAATAATGCATAGAAATCATGTTTACATTTTAAACTTAACAGAAATATTTTTAGTAAACAAATAATGAATTTTACATGAAAGTAGCCTTTTTTAGCCATTATAAGTTGTAGTTCTTATTTAAATAAAATAATGACAGTTTCCTTCTTTTTGAAATCAAATGAACAACTCGTTTCACACTGAATACACCATCAGTCTCCCCCTACCTCCTTCTGCTTCCAAGGGCGCTAAGTTTGAGCTCAGCCTGCTAGCGGCCTATCTTCCACACCTCACAGTGATGTCCCTTAAACATGACCTACAAACGGCACAAACATGAAGAGAACCACTGTAAAATACCCTTTCACAAGTTTCCATGTAGAATATGACAAATAAATAATATATTTGCATGTTTTACCAACTCTGGAGCAACATGTGCATGTCGTTATGATGAGCCGGGAGCAGGAAGTTTAGCGTATACAACAGGAAGTAGTAGAAGAAGAGGGGTGCTCTTCAAAATAAAAGCACTAAATTTAAAGTGACAGAACTGCTTTGTTTACCGCAAACATAATTTGCTGCCATTTACAGCCTTAAAAGAGACATATCATCCTTTTAAATTCTTCATTTTTACATACAGATCATTCAGTTGGGGTCTAAACTCAGTGGAACTGCAGTTCTTTGGTCTGATTTCCTCAATATTGCTGCTCTACAGACCCCTCATCTACCCCTGTTCTGAGGAGAGTCTGAGAATGAGCTGTTTTTGGGTACTGCCTCTTTAAATCAGGAGAAGGAGCTGCAAACTCCGCCCCCTTCCACAGACCAGACCTACTCTCCTCCCCCAGTCGGACTTTGTAGTTCTATAGAGAAATGATTATTTAGCGTAGCAGAAACATTATGTTAGCAAGCTAAATACTTAATTTGCTGATTGGCTGCACCTGGCAGTAAGGCGTTTCCTGTTTCCTGTTTTCAGTGTTGCACTCCGTGTAGCTGTTTGGTGTTTAGGGCTCGCTAAAGCTGATTTAATTTCTCTGTACTTGGATATCTCTGAGTTATTGTAGCACAAAAGCACGCTAAAACGCACATTTTCTGTTGTTCCACCTAGCTTTTAGGGAACCATTTGAGTTTGCACGCAGTTTATTTGGTACTGAACAGTTTGCTTGTCCAGTTAGCTTAGCCTCAGCACGGCTATGGCTACTTCTGTCTCTGCTTCTCTGTCTCCTATCTCTTGCTCTCTGTGTCAGATGTTTAGTTACTCCTCTGCCTCCTTTAGTGATAATGGTACGTGTAATAAATACAGCATTTTTGTAGCTTTGGAGGCGAGGGTGTCGGAATTGGAGTCCCGGCTCCGCGCTGTTGAAAAACCGGTAAACAGCCGTAGTTACTTAGCTAGCGCGGGGCTAACTAGCTCAGAACAACCACGTGGCGACCCTCCAGTGGAACCCGAGCAGCCGGGACCTCAGGCCGGCTGGGTGACGGTACGCAGGAAGCATAGAACCCAGCCTGTGGGTCCCCACCAACCCGTCCACCTTTCTAATAGATTTTCCCCGCTCAGTGACGCACCCACTGACAAGCCGACTCTGATCATTGGCAGCTCCATAGTCAGAAACGTGGCATTAGAGACTCCAGCAACCATAGTTAAAAGTTTACCTGGGGCCAGAGCGGGCGACATTAAATCTTATCTGAAACTGCTGGCTAAGGATAAGCGTAAATACAGTAAGATTGTTATTCACGCTGGCGGTAACGACACCCGGTTACGCCAATCGGAGGTCACTAAAATTAATGTTGCTTCGGTGTGTAAGTTTGCCAAAACAATGTCGGACTCCGTAATTTTCTCTGGCCCCCTGCCTGATCGGACCAGTGACGACATGTTTAGCTGCATGCTGTCCTTCAACCGCTGGCTGTCTAGGTGGTGTCCTGAAAACAACGTGGGCTACATTGATAATTGGAAAAACTTTTTGGGGAAAACCTGGTCTGATGCGGAGAGACGGCATCCATCCCTCTTTGGATGGTGCAGCTCTTCTTTCTAGGAACATGGCCAGTTTTATTAGTCCTCCATGACAACCCCGGGTCCAGACCAGGAAGCAGAGTCGTAGTTTAGCCCACCCCTCTGCAGCTTCTGTACTGTTACCCACCCACTACCCCATAGAGACAGTGTCCTGCCCACGGCCAAAACCACACAGATTAAATATCAGGCTTAATAAAGCAAATCATGGAAATCTCATAAATATTAGAACAAATTCAACTGAGCAGAAAACTAGAAAAATTAAATGTGGGTTGTTGAACATTAGATCCATTTTTTCTAAGACTTTGTTAGCTAATGACTTGATTTGTCATAATCAGATCTCTTTGCTCTCTCTCACAGAATCCTGGCTGCAGCAAGAGGACTATGTTAGCTTAAACGAGTCGACTCCTTCAAATTATTTAAATCATCATATTGCTCGAAGTACAGGGCGAGGAGGAGGAGTGGCAACCATTTTTCATTCTGACTTATTAATCAGTCCCTTACAGATTAATAGCTACAGTTCGTTTGAACATCTTATTCTTAGTTTTCCTAATCCAGATTGCAAAACTGTAAAACCACTCTTGTTTGTTGTTTTATACCGTCCACCAGGCCCTTACTCTGAGTTTTTGGATCAGATCTCTGATTTTTTATCAGATTTGGTGCTAAATACTGATAAGGTCATTGTAGTGGGGGATTTTAATATTCATGTGGACATCGAAAATGATAGCCTCAATGTAGCCTTTAGTAATATCTTAGACTCAATTGGTTTTACTCAAAGAATACATAGCTCCACCCACTCCTGCCATCATACATTGGACCTTGTTCTGACTTATGGCATTGAGTGTGAGGAAATAACAATCTTTCCACATAATCCAGTCCTCTCGGACCACTTTCTGATAACCTTTGAGTTTTTTATAACTGAGTTTTCGAGACATGAAAGTACATTTCATTATAGTCGGTCTCTATCTGACAACATAGTTGCATCTTTTAAATCAACTGTTCCATCTTTACTGTCCTCAGCATCTCAGAGGCATGTAGCAGAGGGCAATATTTTCAGTTCTAGCCCCTCACAAATTGATGCCTTAGTTCATCATGTTGATTCCTCTTTACGTGTGGCATTAGATTATGTTGCCCCTTTAAAAAAGAAGGTAATTAGGGACAGGAAGTTGGCTCCCTGGTTTAACTCTCATCTACGAGCCTTAAAACAAAACTCTAGGTAATTGGAGAGAACATGGCGCTCTATGCACCATGAGGAGGCCTACCTATCCTGGAAAAATACTCTTGTGCTTTATAAAAATAAGCTTCAACAAACTAGAACTGCTTATTTTTCAGCATTAATTGAGGAGAATAAGCATAATCCTAAATTTCTTTTCAGTACAGTTGCTAAACTTACACAGAATCATAGCTCTGAGCCATCTATTCCCTTAGCCCTCAGCAGCAATGACTTCATGGGATTTTTTACAAGTAAAATTAATTCTATTAGAAACAAAATCTTTAGCATCCTCCCTAATGCGATTTCTTCTTCCTCGGTAAGTGTGGAAGCATCAGAGGTAACTGTAGAACCTCATCTGTGCTTGAACCGTTTTGATCCAGTTGAGCTTTCAGAGTTATCAAAAATATTAGCTTCATCTAAACCTTCAACTTGCATTTTGGATCCAATCCCAACCAAATTATTTAAAGATGCATTTCCTTTGGTTACTGCCCCCATTCTAGATATAATCAATCTATCCTTAGTAAATGGGTATGTACCACAAGATTTTTAAGGTTGCTGTAATCAAACCTTCACTTAAGAAGCCTTCTCTGGATCCAGATTACCCAATGAATTATAGACCAATATCTAACCTTCCATTTTTATCCAAAGTCCTGGAGAAAATAGTGGCCATCCAAGTATGTGAGCATTTAAACTCTAATGCTCTGTTTGAGGAATTTCAGTCTGGTTTTAGAGAGTATCACAGCACTGAAACTGCATTAGTGAGAGTTACAAATGATATTCTCATGGCCTCAGAT